ATATATAATAAAAAATTAAACACGCAAAAAAAGATAAGAGAATTTTGCCTCCGTTAGTAGTACTAGACCTGTAGGAGTCCGACTCTTTCTTCAGAATCGTATTTTAATTTTAAAAAAAAAGTTGTTCGGGCAGTTTGTATTGGAATGAAAATTTCAAATTTCGATATTTGGTTTTTGGATTAAATAGATGACAATGCAAATTCAATCCAAATAAGCTCATATTGGATCTGTTTTTTAAGTTCAGTTTGGATAAATGTTTCTTCTTCTTATAAAAATAAATATTCAAATGAATTATTCATGCTAAATTGCCTAAAAAGTTCCTTATTCTCGCCTCAATTATCCAGACTAAATATTCAAGTAACGAAATCATTATCAAGAAAATACAACAGATATATTAATAAAACCGATAGAAACTTTGATGTATCGTTAGTCTTTACCCTCAAGCTTACTAAAGTAGATTTTTTTAGGAATACTGATAATTACTGTTTGCTGGTTTTGGAAGATTCATTGCAGGAAAGATGGGCATTACATACAATGCCAAACACGATGAGGTATTTTATAAGCCTTTTATAAAGAAGGAAAACTTTATTGTTCTTCTGCTGAACTGAACTTCATATAAAATCCAAGAATAATATTAAATGGTAGCTTGAAACCTAACTGGTTAAAACTTTATTCTATGATACTTTTCTTACATTTTTAATGTCATTACACTTTATTCTATGATACTTGTAGCTTTATTTATTCTATGATATTTTTCTCAAAGTGATGTTATTTCATGTTAGTAATATAGGTAAGCCCTAATCTATATATAGTACTAAAATCTTTTCAGTTTCGACATCATTTTCTTCTTTGCCTTCTTAGACTTTTGTATTTTCAATTTAAAAATTCATTCCTCTTCCACTATATTTCCAGCACCCGCTCTCTCATATCCTTCAGAATAGTCAAGCAAAGAAGAACTTAATTAGAAGAAAATCAGCTCAATGCAAGCAACACTCCAATCAGTCCATTTTGACTATATAAATAGTCAAACCAAAGAGGTAATTAACTTCTACATTGTCATTTTATGTAAAACAAACAATAGCCTTTCGTAGAAATGCTAGATAAGACAGCGTATAGTAAATCCAATATGGTTGGACCCTTATCCGGATTACGCGCATAGCGTGAACTTAATGCACGGAACTACCCGTTATTTGTCATTCTATGCTAAAAACAAGATATACTATATATATGAATTTTAATTGTTTTATACATCATATTGAATTGTCGCATATCGGGTGGGATGCGGTAACTTGGTCTTCTTATTTTCTTTTGGTAACCAAGTCTTTCATTCATTACCAAGTGAAATATTTACAAATCAACAAGACCAAAACTCAGTTTATTGTACCAAAAGATAAATCACTCAAGCTATTAAGACTCGATTGGAATATATGAAATATCACCACCTCACTAACTAAGTTTTGAGATTGAGTTAGACTCAATGTACAAAAATGTGCAGAAGTACAATATGAGTACACCACGGTCGGCACCCAGTAAGTATCAAGACTAACCTCGATGGAATAGTGACGAGGTACAGTCAAGACACTCACTGGTCAAATAACCTATGCCATATAGCAGTATATAATAGTACTGGAAAACAACTAGCCATGATAGCAACAAAATTCAACCAATGATATAAACAGCAAGTCAACAAGAACACTAATTATTGCTGAAACAAATAAGGAATACAAGTACAAACAATTAATCAAGTCCTTCAAATATAAATCTTTCACATATAATTCTTTAAGATAAATATCTTTCGAATATACTTCTTTCAAATAAATATCTTTCGAATATAATTCTTACAAATAAAAGTCACTCTGTGATACCTCATTTCATAATAATAAAATAAGGGTCTCTGCCCACTTTCATATTTTCGTAACACTGGTCTCAGCCCACTTTCACGGTACTTCGTGCCCATATTTCTATCACAATCGCACGGACAACTCACGTGCCAAAATATCAATATATAAGATCCGCACAGACAACTCACGTGCCAATAATAAAATCATCATTTACCCACGGCAACTCGTGCCCACATCTCATTTCACAACTACACGGACAACTCACGTGCCAATATCATTACCCATGGTACCTCGTGCCTATATTTCATATCACAACCGTACGGACAACTCACGTGCCAATAACATATTCTGCCCGGCAATAGCCACAGACTCACAATTTTAACATGTATCAGACTATTATCAAATTTACTGTATTAACAAAACAAGTTGCACAAGATATAAAAGTAATCACAAGAAAATCACAACATCACGTAAAAATCACCAGCACAATAACCCCACATCATCACATAACATCCCTGACAAATAGTCAGCATTATCTCTCAAATAGACACCCTTATCATTCTTATAATAGCCTCCCTTATCCCTCCATCCTGAAAATATCAATAGCCACTTTTATCGCTCTTATAGTCACCATTAGCACTCCTATAATAGCCTCCCTTATCACTTTCTTTAATAGCCCCATGTATCACTCCGCCTAGACAATATCCCAACACACATAACAATATTGAAATACCACCCTTATTTCCGCATAACATCAATAGTGGGATGCCACCCTTATACGCCGTATAACAGTAACCCAAATCACACAACAATTCACACAGAATATTATCACAACAACACAACATAATCAACTCGTATTTAAAAATTGCTCGTAGGCCACAACATTTCTAAAGATATAACGAAATCAATTAATTTCATAACAGATAGCCCACGGTTCAACACAATGTATATAAAACCTCAAAAACAACAAGGATGGAAAAGTAACTCAGCAAGAACAACGTCTTCTTTAATCTAAATTTTTTATAAATATATTCATGCCTCTTTTTAAACTTATTTATTTAATTATTTACAGATAAAAAATCCATAATGTAATTATTTACAGGAAATGTCAACTCAGTAATTTCCAGGAAATGTCAACTCACACCAAATTATCATATAAAACAAATTCGATAAACAAAAAATGAGGCATGACAAACAAGGATTAATAAGTGCCAGTAATTTCCAATTTAATACTTAAAAATGCCTATGACTTTAAACCAATAAAATTTGTACATATACGCCCGAGTATGTACTCGTCACCTCGCGTACACGGCTTTCACATTACACAAATAACACATACGACTCGACGCCTAAGGGGTAATTCCCTCACTCAAAGTTAGGCAAGATACTTACCTTTTTGAAGTTAGGTTGATTTTCCAAAATAGCCTTCTTGCGTGAAATGACCTCTAGACGGCTCAAATCTAGCCAATTAATTGCATAACTTCATTAAAATTCATTGAAAATAATTTCGGATAATTATAATGTCAACTTAAAATTACATATTAAAAATTCAACCTAAAAGTCAATGCGGTGCTCGCCTCTTGGAACCTGACAGAATTTTCATGAAATTTGAACACCCATTCCGATACGAGTTCAACCATACCAATTTTATCAAATTCCGATAACGAATCAACTTCCCAATCCTCAATTTAAGGTATAGAAAATTTCTATCATTTTCAACCCAATTCACTAATTTTATGGAAAAAAATAACAATAGATTCATGTAATTTAACCAAAATTGAGTTAGGAATTCTTACCCCAATGTTTTCCTTGAAAAATTCTCGAAAAATCGCCTCACACAAGCTTTTTCGTCCAAATATGGAAGAATGAGAAGTCTAATTTTTTGGCTTTATTTTGCTGCCCATGGTTTATTCTTCGCGTTCACGACCCTCCCCTCGCGTTCGCGATGAGCAAATTGCTCAACAGCCATTTCCAAACTCTTCCCCGACAGTTTCTAGTATAATGGTAATAACCTTTTGTACAAAATTTCAAATGACAAATGGTTTGACTTTTTGAAAACTAGACATCAAGAGATACAACTTGCATGATTTTATTATCTCCCAATTCCTTATAGGTTGCGAGATATAAGCTTTCAAAGTCAGTCTTGTACAGCAGAAATTTCTTTTTCACGATTTCCAAACTCTTCCCAGACAGCCTATAATATATCAACCATAACATTTTGTACACAACTCCAAATTCCAAACGGTTTAAATTTCCGAAAACTGTACACAAAGGGCTACAACTTTCATTTTTGGATTATCTCAAAATTCTTTATAGATTGCAAGATATAAGCTTCCAAAGTCGGGTTAGTGCAGCAGAATTTTCCTCTACGCGATCGTGAAAAGCCTTCCGCGATCACGATTCACAGGCCAATATTTTTCATTTTACTCTTCGCGATTGCGGCCAATACCTTGCGATCGCAATGCACACTGCTGTAGCAAAAAATCAGCAACTAAAAAGGGCCTAGAAATACTCTGAAACCACCTCGAAACTCACCCGAGCCACTCAAAGAAATGTACACCGCAGTTTCTCCTTTTCTTTCGCAATGCACACTGCAGTTTCTCTTTTTTTTTTCCTCAAAGAAATGTCTACTCCTCCCTTAAATTGCCATTAGTTTAGGATGATATAAAATGAACAGTGTATATAGATTATGAGACATGGATTATAAAGCTTACGTATTTTCAATTACTTAAAAGTGTACCCTTCCTAATATTCTTTTAAAAAATATTTTGTAGAGCTAATTAGTTCATTCAATCTAAGAATTAGAATTTCTAACAGGATAACGTACAAGACATCTAGTTTTCTTTTCATAAGAAGAAATAATACGAGATTCATTTTCTTTATTTTGTCTTTTCTTTTCAAATCAAATTCTGCAATGAATTGGATTAATAATAATAATTTTTATGCCGTACCATTTTAAACCAATATCTGTTGCTTGTAGGAATTATACAGTTCAAGAAAGTAATTAAAGAGGGATGGCACACTCTATTGATATTACCCAAATAGATCACGGAACTCCACTGCTTCGTCAAGCAACAAAAGATGAGGTCTCTCTCTTTCTCAACACAAACTTTCATTTTATTTATTTATTTATTGTATTTTTGTACAAAAGGAAACAAGGTAGCAAGCATGAATAGTCACTCGTGTATCACTTGCTAATAATCATAATTTTTTAATATATGCATTAATTCATTAAAAGCATAAATACAACGTCAAGTTTGATCAGGTATCTTTATTAAGATTCAACTAGTATTAATACTCGCGCGATGAACAGACAATATCAAATTATAATTTGGGTTATTTGGATCATATACAAATTACGCTAAAATCTAAACCTTCAATATAAAAATTACGTATAATTATTAGATATCAGTCAAGAAGTAGGACATGAAACTGTTTTTCATACTTTGTACTAGATATCATGTTTTTTTTTTAAATATTTGTAACAACTCAACCCCTTGATCTTAGTATTTTTTTATATCTGTAACAACCCAACTCAACCCAAACCATATTCTTTTTTTCATATCTACGGCAACCCAACCCTTGATCTTAGAAATTACATTTTATTTTGTGGTCAATATTAAAGAAAACTGAACATATCACGTTGTAATATATCTTGTTTGAGAAAATTATTTTAAAAAAATTCTTACTACCACTTTATTTTTACCTCAAAGTCGAATAAGTCTTATTCTTCTACATTTTCACCAAAAACAAACCTCTATTTAATATTTGCTTATAGTTGTGGCATTATTCATTACTTAATATTGTTATATTTTTATGTGATTTTTTGTTATCTTACCGAATGACTTAATATCTTGCTTATTACCCTTTTGACAATTATATAAAAATAGAAATTTTTTATTCCTAAACTTTAATGTTTTTTTATTTTTTTATCCTATTACTTAGAGCCCTTTCATCATTTAAATCTATCAATAATAAATTTGAGTATTATTTAATTATTTAATATGCTTATCCTTAAATTAATTCAAAGTATAAATATCTCATACAATCTTTATTTTCCTCTTTATATAATTTTTACCCCTATTATGAAATTTTAATTATTTTCTTATATTTATATATTATAATATAATCAAAATATATAGTATCACATTTTATTTTAAGTTATAACATTGAATTAGTCTAAAATATTAATACATAAGTTTTTAAATTATTATATTTTAAATCTATTGTAGTTTCTTATAATTATTTTTATATCATGTGCAATTATATTTTCTTTCTCTTTTAGTTTTAGGATAAAAATTTAAATTTATTTTTGTTACTAAATTACCTACATGAGACATTTATTTTGTATTCTTGAAATTTTTAATTTGTTATTCAATTGTTATTTTTATTATTTAGTAAAACATTGATTTTGTGGTCCTATCCATAATTTTAATATAATCTCAAGTTCAAATCATCTTTCCCTTTTTAAAATATTAAATGTTTTTGAATTTTTAATTATTGCTATACATTACCTAATATATAGTATTTAATATTTTCATGTGACCTTCATTAACTTTCGTCTTTATTTAATTTCTTTATCCATTTATATCCTTTAATATAATATAGATCAATGTCTGATTTTTTAATCTTGATATAAATACTTATATTATTTTAAATTAGTATTCAAAATTATTAAATTATTTAAATTTATTAATAATATTTTTAAGTATTATATAATAAAAAATTTAATATTTTGATTTAGTTATTTATAATTAATTAATTAAAAAATAAGTTATATGCGGCTTTTTCTCGTTATGTCATATGACCAAATTAGTTATTAGTTAATAGTTATTTAGTTAATATATTACATGTGGCTAATTTTAAGGCTACCACTTTGCTTAAGGAGAGAGCGTTTTCTCTCCTTTTAATAATATATAGATAAAGATAATTATTTTTATTTCACGTCCAATTAAATTTTCTTTCTCTTTTAGTTTTAGAATATTTAAATTTTATTTTCGTTACTAAATTACCTACATGAGACATTTATTTTGTATTCTTAAATTTTAATTTGTTAGCCAATTGTTATTTAAGATATCTAGTAAAACTTTAATTTTGTGGTCCTATTCATAGTTTGAGGGTTTTCACCATAATTTTAATCTAATCTCAAGTTCAAATCATCACTCCCTTCTATTTCTAATATTAAAAAGAATTTTTAATTATTGCTACTACGTTACCTAATATATAGTATTTCATGTTTTCATGTGACTTTCATTAGCTTTCCTCTTTATTTAATATCATTATCCATTATATCCTTTAATATAATATAAATCAATGTGTATTTAATCTTGATATAAATATTTATATTATTTAAATTAATAATAAAAAATTATTAAATTGTTTAAATTTATTAATAAATATTATTAAATATTATATAGTAAAATTTCTAATATTTTGATTTAATTATTTATAATTAATTAATTAAGAAAGAAGTTATTTGTGGCTATTTTTTATTATGTCATATGGCTAAATTAATTATTAGTTAATAGTTAATTAGTTATACATTACATGTGGCTAATTTTAAGGCTGCCCATTGGCTTAAAGAGATGGATTTTCCCTCTCTTTTTAATAATATATAGAAGATTGTTTTATTTTCCTTTTACTCTTTTGGTTTCCACTAATGATGTTTGCAACTTCATTACCATTCACTATTCATTGTTGTATTCCTTCCCTATGATTACTTGTTATTCACTTGTTAACTTTTACTTGTCCACTATTCTAAAAATATAATTTTACTTTTACAACCATTTTAGCAAATTAAGATATAGACAATTGTTTTTTCTGTTTTACCCTTATCATTAACTATTCATTCCCCAAGACTTTTTTATTTACTTTTAAAATTGTAAATATATATTTTATTTACTTTTTCTTAAAAAGAGTGCAAAATCAAAAGTGAACAACTAAAAATAAACAGAGGGAATAAAACTTATAGAAAATAATAAGTATATATAAATATTACTATAACATAAATAAATAAAAAAAATTGGAATTCAGCTTGAAAGTCAGCGTTAGTTTCTCAAAACGAAAAAGAAAAACTATGAACTCTTTTCCATTAATTACAGATAGAAGAAGGGAAGAAGGTGGATACCAATAAATCTGCAAATCAAATCTTTGAGGAAAAAGTAAAGGGCATGGACAATTCGTCTGTCAAATCCATTACCATATTCAAAGTAAATGTTGGGTTACGTGAATCAAATCCAGATGCTTATACCCCAAAGATTATCTCCATTGGTCCTTACCATAACAAAAATCCTCAACTTGGCTCAATGAAAAAATATAAACTGTTGTACCTACAACGGTTTCTCAAACGGAAAACGGAGATTGATGTGGAAAGTTGCATCAGTAAATTGGAGAAAAATAAAGATGAAGCACTAAAGTGTTATGATGTTAACATTGACAGTGACATTGTTGTCGAATTTTCACAAATGATGTTGCTTGATGGCTGTTTTATAGTCGAGTTTATTCGAGAGTGTTGTGGATGGAAGCCAACAGAAGAAGACGAAATCATCAACAGGGAATGGATGATGTTACAAGTATGTCGAGACATGTTATTACTAGAAAACCAACTACCTTATTTTGTACTCACCATGTTACATGAAATGACTAAGTATCCTAAAGAACCAAACTTGATAAAGATGGTGAAATCCACATTCCCTGATCTTTTCCCAAATAAGAATCCTGAAATAATTGATGGTACTGCGCCTCAACAACCAGACCATTTACTTGATGTGTTACACATGTTGTCTCGCCCATCAAAAATGAAAAATACTAGCAAAACCACGAATGGTAGCACCCGAAAGGAATGTTGTAACATAAGTTTTTTGGGGAAAATTTTGCAAATAATTAGGTCAAAAGAAATGCCAGACGAAATTAGTGGTTGGGAATGCTGCCAAATTCCAAGTGCAACAGAACTTTATGAAGCTGGAGTCAGCTTCCAAAAATTAGGAGCTTTGGGAAAAGATAGTATGGATAGAACAACTATATTCGATATCAAGTTTAAAGATGGATTGTTTGAAATCCCTTGTTTTGCAGTTGAGGATACATTGGAAACTTTCTTGAGAAATATGATAGCTTATGAGCAGCACTCGTCTAGTTTACATCTAAGATATTATACGGATTATGGTTGGATAATGAGTCAACTTATTGTCTCACATAAAGATGTGAATCTTCTTCGCCAGAACGGAATTATGCTTAACGAGATAGGACATGACAAACAAGTGGCTACCATCTTCAACAAACTGACACAAGGGGTC